TATAGAAGTAGGTGAGAGAAGTTCTAATACATTTTATATTCCAGTAGATGGCTTACTACATGTATTTTTTGATAAAAATAAATTTTTAATAATTTAAATCATATTTAAATTGATGGGTCAGGCTCTTACTGCTAAATTCATATGAATATATAAAGTATGATTGCCCTGCAAAACTGCTTCCCGCTTACAAACTACTTTCAAGTAGTTTGGATAGCGGGAAGCAGTTCAAGTTTGTCTTAATTTACTTTATTTAAACCATGTTATAATTAATATTTGTTTCGAACATTTTACAGCTAGTAAACAAAATATAGCATAAGAAAATATGGCGAAACGTCACTAACTGATACAAGTAACGTCACTCAATTACATAATACATATACTACATATAAATGCAAATTAAGTAAGTTAGAACTTTAATTTTTTTTGTATAGTGCATCAAATAAAAATGAAAAGAGTTTTTTTCCTAAATCTTCTGTCAAGTTTTCTTCCTGATATTCTGATAAATAAAGTAATTTATTTCAAGTTTTTAATAAATTTTAGAAAAAATGAAATTTTAAATTTTCTCTTTCATTTTGTATACTTTTCCCTTTTAAAAAATTTTTTATGGCACATTAATTTTTCTATAAACATATTCGTATAGAAAAATTTAACAGATGGTTGAATATTTTAATGAAATACCATATACGACCAACATTTGACATCTATTTATTAAATTTGTCAAAAGAAAATGTTGTGTCACTGTTATGCGTTGTTATTGTGATTATTTTAAATAACACAATATAGTTTCTTTGTCATTTGAAAATAAATGAAAACATGGAAGAAGACTAATAAGACATTTCCCTTTTCTTTGAAAAATTTAAATTATAGATAATGAGCACATTAAAATAGTTTTTGAACTTATAAGATAAGATGTACATGTACCATGTATTTATGTAGAGAATATACAGAGTGTTACAGACTCGAGAATATTTCTAAAGCCTAAATAAGAAGTGCTTTCTTTCATCATCAGCGTGTATGTAAGATAAGAGTGGAAAAGTCCAAATTTTCAAGAAAATTTTTAGGTAACGTTATTAAACCATGCTTTTAATTTCTTTATTAAATTGTTACCATTCTGTGGTAAGAAAAAACTGCTTTTTTATTTTTCATTTAAATATGCGGATATTTTATATCACGTGCGTGTAATGAAAATTTATGAAATGGGAACTTAAATTCACGGGATATCATGGGGTTGGGATAGGGCTTCAAAATATGTTTACTTTATTTATTTTAGTAAAAAAGATCACTTTTCATTAAAACCAACTTTTTATCTATGGAGCAACATTTATTCTGTCATTAAGTCTTATACACCCCGTATATTAAAATTATTTAATAGCTAAATACAATATTAAGAAAATAAATTTATAAAAATTAATACTTTTAAAATAAAAGAATTACTACATAGTTTGATTTTTAAAAATATAAGAAAACATTTTTGAAAAGAATGAAATAGCATAATATTTATACATACATTTATACGAGTAATATGCACATATGTGCATATTTGAGATTCTTATTGAATTTACTCACAATTTTATGAAAATAACTGAAATATAAATGGAATAGCTTTACATGGACGAATTTTAATTATTTATAATGTACACGTTGATTTTAAGAGTTTATACTAAATGGTTTGCAAAGCAGAAAATTTTATTTTAGACGTTTAAATAATATATTTACGTTTGCTAAATAAATCAGATTCAATTTAGAAGCACAAAATTATAGAAAAAAAATTTTGTTAAAATTTTTATTTGCTTGCCTCATATAGTTGTGGCTACTTTTGGGCAACCCTACTTTAATTGTCCTCAATTTTTACGCAATTAAAAGGCGCATGCAACGTTATACAACTTCAAATCCAATAACAAATGTAAATCATATTTCCAATACAAAACATTAAAATTTTTTAGTCTATAAATTATTTAAAGAATATCATAATTGACTGCGTATAATTGTTATATGAAAAAGAATTTCTTTTATAATTAAATATTGTGAATGATTCGCTCTATTATTTTGTTTTTTACATTAAATAAATTCTTCAACATTCAATGTCATTCTATATTTCATTATCATTGTAATTAGAATTCAATTATTGAAACGACATATTTTTTCTCATCTAATTACAGAAATAATTCATAGACCCACGACAACAAAAAAACCATAACCAATCATTATTAAGTCTATACAAAAATTTTTAAAGTAAATTTTTTCATCAAAAAGTATGGATTTGTTAATTTAATATTGAAAATAATAAAAGAATGAAAATGTTTGTGTACAGAACATTCAGGTATCATAATATTATTTTGAATCGTTTTATTTATAAGTATAAACAGAGCCGGACTTTGAAGATTTCCGAAATATTTAAGATAAAGAATACTACCCTAAAGAATTCGCACCTGTTTAAACTGTACGAATATAGCCTGTTACTAACAATTTGAGAATCAGAATGTCATTTTGGCCTTAAAAAGACTTTTATAATTAGCGTAAAATTTATCCATTTTGTAGTGGAAGAAAATTTTGCAATTTTTAAGAAATTCATTAAAGAGAAGATTATTTCGTAAGTAAAATATAAATTTTTTTAAATTAATCAAAAATTTTCGGCATATCCCGATTTTTAGAATGAAACAAAACTCACAATATATACGAACAATTATTTTCTTCTACATATTCTTTATAATACTACTGTATTCTAAAATCTAAAATTTTAGGTTTGTATGCTAAAATCTGCACAAAAACCTTAAATTTTAAATTTGTAATAAAAGTAAAATAAAGAGTAAACTTTCGATTTTTACACTTTTTGAACAAGAACCACATTGCAATTTTATAAGTTTATAAGTGAATTCGGCACTGTATATATAATTATAAAACATTTTTAAACTATCAATTGCAATTGCAATCCATAATGCTCGTATAAAAAAAAATGAGAACAATTTTCACATAAGTTTTTGTTCGCCAATTTGATTTACTATGCTATTATAGTAAGTATTTTAAAATAATTACTAATTATACAGCACATGCTATATTAAAATACACAAACATAGATATTTGGAGCATCATTAACGTTATTAGTATATGAAAGAATCGTAAAATAAATTAGTTTTTATGTAGTCTAATTATAAAAATTTTAATAACTTATTTACTTTATTGTTGTTTGTGTTTTGTAATTTCAACTAAAGACCTTTTCTATATTGTCTTTCTCTTTTTTTTTTAAATAAATGTGTAAAGTTTTATGGTTTATTTTATTTTTTTTTTGTTTTACAATTTCAATTTTGATTTTTGAATTATCACCATCTCTTTTGCTTTCATCTTATTATTTACTTTCTTTCTATAATTTCTTTTCATACTACATACTTATTATTTTTATTCCAAATTATATTTGATAAAATTTTCATTTAACTGTAAGGTATTTTTAAAGAATATTTAGTGTTATTAACTAGATTTTAAGTTTCGACAATAACACAAAAATAATTTAAACCATATACGGTTCAGCTTAAGAATTATAAATGCTAAATTGTATAGCAATGCAATACTAAAGGTAGAGATTATTTGTTAGGAGCATTTACTGTATAACTTAAATTTAATTGTGAGTGCATAATTAGGAAATGTATAGAGGTTTCCGGTGAAAATTTTGGTATATTATGTTGGCTGAGTAGCGAAAACAATTCCGTAAAATAAAATATCAAGGATTTCACATTTATTTTTCAATACAGAAATATTGGAATGATTATACGTGCTACTTCTTTAAAGTTCTCCTTTGTATAAACTTATGAAACTGTAAATATACCTAGATATGTTCGTTTGAAGGCAAAATGAGCTCAGGTGTTGCATGATTTTTAACAAATTTTTAGTTCAAGCCGGAAATTAATTTGGATAATTCTATATAAGATTTGATAACAATTTTTACTAAACCCGTAATATAATTTTGTGGCTTTTATACGAAAACGTCTAATATAAGCTCAGAAAACAGAATTAATGAGAACAGTATTAATAAAATAGAAGAAAATTAATATGCGTCAGGAAAAATTAAACATTTTCTTTTGATTTAAAGGAAAGCTTTTCATTCTAAAAAGTGTTCCTGCAAAATATTCGGAAAATTATCAATGTAGTTTATAAAATTCTTTATAAAGAACGGTATTTCTTTCAAATCTAGCACAAAAGAATTAAATTGAATTTCTAACTCAAAAATTTTTAAGCTATTTTCATATTTTTACTTGATTATTCAATTATTTTGTTCTTTTTTAAGGCAATCACATTAATTTAAATGTGTTTACCATAATTAGTTTAAAAAGATTTCAAAAAATAATCAATCCCATATATACATAGCTCTTTCTGCTTTAATATATGCAAATATTAATTCGCTTACCTTATCGTAAACAGGTAAGCAGTCAAAAATTTAGATAATTATTTGCAGTTATAAAAAATATGAGTATATATGTATGTACATAAAGGTGAAAATAATGTTTCTAATAATAATTGCGACTGTTAAACTATCATCAAAATCATGTAAACAAAAAAAGTTTTTTACCTGTATACATTGCTTATATCGTGGTATACAATGAAAATAAACATAAAATCACCGCCAATTCGCGTATAATGAAACAAAAAAAAAATTATCAAATGTTTTAATGAAGAAAAGAAAAGCCAAAAACAAAACAAAATAATAAAAAAATAATTGAAAGAAATTTTTTCCTTAGTAGTTTTTTTAATTTCATTTAAGAATGACACTGAAAACAAAAGAAATTTTTCTTATATTTAATCAGTAATTTTAAAATGAAGAAGATCAGTTTTATTTTAACTGCAGTCATAATCGGTATATATCGATAACAATAATAATTGAAAATGAATTATTTAATAAATGAAATAAAATAAAAAAAAAATCAATTTTAAGAAATTATATTTTATATTATAACAAATAAAATTGAAATTTTTATAATTTTACAAATAAAAAACAAAAAAGACAAACAAAGATGGGTTCAATTGTTTTAGTGATATTTAAAATTTTTTTAATTAATTCTTTAATATTTATACGAATAATTAATAGTGATGAATTAAATTTATTAAATACACCATCAGATAGAATATTCAAAAATGATATTAAAAATCCAAATTATACAACATATAAATTACAAGTACCAGGATCAAATTCAATAACAATTGTAGAGGCTATTAAAAAAGAAAATAAACCAAATATGGCAATACAAAAGAAGGATCTAAATAAATGGAATTATTCAAATCAAGGTTAATAATAAATTATATTTCTAATACCCTTCTTCACTTTAAAATTAATATTGTAATCAAACAGTATTAAGAATACACAATTCAGAAAGGACATACGTTACGTATTCTATAAAAGAATATTGCCTTACCGTATTCTGTGTATACCGTGCGTTATTAGAAATTTTATTTGAAGGACTTAATTGAAATAATTTTGCATATTTATATATGAGATTTTTAATTGTTTTAAATTCTGAATTATACTTGTAAAAACCTACGTAATCTTTGGATTAACTTGTTGGTTAGATACGTCAAATTGTAATCACTTTACTTTATTCAGCAAATTTAATTAATATTGTAAAATAAAGCTTGTACATTGCTATTTACAGAGTTTCAAAATTAATAATTCATGGCGTATAGATAAATTGTTATAATTCCTAAAAATTAAACTAATAAAAAAATTAATTAATTACACTGCAGTTGGATTTTAAACTTATAGTTATCTTTTATATTATTTCTTCTTCAATCTTTTTTCCATCTCGTTCTGATTAAAAATCACGGTATTAAAAATTTTGTTCTATATTTAATTCTATAACGATACTGGTGTACTTTTGATGAATTAACAATTTTTCAAATTATTGAGTGCATGTGAAGGCTTAACAATATTTGCGACAGGATTTTACAAAATTTTTGTTACGTTCCCATATTTATAAATTTATTTTATTAAACTGAGAATTCTTAAAAAAAAATAAAAAGTGGTTAGGACGAATTAATTTTAAATTTTTTTTTCTCATTGTAGATTTTACAAATTCAGAAAATATAAATGCAACACCTAGTTTATTGGAAAAATTTTTATCAGAATATAATTTTAAAATAAATCCAAGTGCACCATCAAAAGAATTTTTACAAAATATTTCGAACATAAAACTATCACATAGAGATAACCGATATAACGAACATTATTTTGATCAAAGTGAAACTGAAAATTCTGAAGATTATTTTAACAATAAATATGATAATCAGCAGTTTTATCAACAAGACTTAATAAATCAACAAAACTCTCATACAAATATTCCGAAAAATTATTATAATTTATTGAATACACATGAAAATTCGGAAATAATTTCATCAACTGAATCTGATCGTTATTCAGATACAAAAGCAGATAATAAAAAATGGACAAGTTTACAACCTGTTCATTGGTCTAAATCACAAGTTTTAAAATGGAAACCAAAAAATAAAGTTTTACAAACATATTCAACTTCAAATCGTTACAGTTATATGAATAGAGAACCGGATGATACTAGAATACCATCATTAAGAAGAAAATGGACTAATAGTTATCATGATTTTCCTGAAACATATCAAAATAGAGACAAGGATTATTTAAATTTTAATGGTAACATAATGGAAGCATATAATAAATATCCAAATTTAGGAAATGAAAATCTAAATGACTTTGATCAGAATTCACAAAAATTGCATTCAAATTCAAAACCTACAAGAAATCCACATAATGGAAATAATTATTATGAACGTCCGGAAATTGAGGTTTCATCAAGTTATGATCGTTATTATGATTATGGACATAGACCAGATTTTGAATCTGATTATAATCATGAAAATCACAAAAATAATTATAATATGAAAAATCCATTTTCAACAACTCCCTATAATAATAATTATGATGATTTTGACACCGCAGCCAGCTCTCAACATGCTACATTTATTACGCCTTACAATATTAAGAGAGTTAAACCACATTACTATTATGGACATCATCATGATAATACACAAACTCGAAATTTTTTAAAAGATCGAATTCCAAATCCAAATCTTTCTGATAGTAATGGTGAATGGATTCTGGTTACTTCAAATAAAGGTTATGAAAAACCTTTAAAATCATCAAGACCAACACGTTATACACATAACACTTCAAAAAATTCTTCATTAATAACTACATCTTCTCAACCCATTTTAAGTATCTTAGACAGTAAACCACCAATTACTAATTTTAGAACACATAAATCAGTAAAATTGTATGTTCTTCCATCTAATAGTAACGAAACAATCAACTTATCACATAATGGTCTTCTTGAGGTTGATAAATCATCAGAAACTGTAGAGTCTTCTGTTGCAGAAACGGATAAAAAGAAAGGAACTAAGCGTAAAGTTAAACAAATGAAATTGATATCAGTTCCAGTCAGTAATGTTCATACTGATCATTCAGCAGTTCTTGCCGCTGTAGGTGCTGGAATGGTACCAGCTACTATGGCAATGTTAATGCCAATGGTATTGGGTAGAAGAAAACGCAGCATAATAGCATCGAACCAAAGAAATGAAAGTTTAATTGATGAAAATAATAATCAAATAATAATAAGGGAACCTGAATTAGAAAATAATTTGAATAATTTATTAATTTAATTTCTATTGTAGTATGTATTAATATAGTATGTATAAGTTACTTTTACTGGCATAACTTAATAAAATTTAATATTTATGATAATTTTCAATAAATCTTTATCTAAAAACTGGAATGATAATTTAAAAATAAGGATGCTTTTGTATTTAGTAGTTTAATATTTTTTAAGTAAAAAGTAAAACACAAACTGGCGGTCAAAAAATTTGGCGGCCGTTTTGGTTTGTGCTCAAAATAAGAGTTTTCAACATTTTAGTGTATATTATGCTAACGTTAGTTAATTAGTGTGAACGTCAATTTTTAAAGTCAAAAACGAAATAAAGTTGTCATTTTTCTTTCAAATCTTTAGTGAAATTAACTCATAATTGTTAAATATTTACAAATACTTAATTGACCACTAAAATATAACTTTGTATCTGAGCATATAACATTGAAGCCATTAATTTCTCGAATTATACAATAAAGTAATTATTAAAATTTTCTTCTCTACTGTCATTTAGATGATTACTTTTTGACATTAAAAAAGTGCTGTCATATTGTCATGCAAAAACAATCGTTTTGATTTGGCGTTTATTTATATGTTTTTTTTTTGTTCTCAACTAACATAGGTTAAATTAAAAGAAGCTATAGCTACATTTCTAAGGAGTTTTTTTTATAATTGAATAAGATACTAATTTAAATTTGAAATAAAAAAAAAAATTTATTATGTCGATCGGTGTCCCAATAAAAGTTCTTCATGAAGCTGAAGGTCATATAGTAACATGCGAGACAATAACCGGCGAAGTTTATCGGGGTAAATTAATTGAAGCTGAGGACAACATGAATTGTCAACTAACACAAATCACAGTAACATATCGAGATGGTAGAACAGCTAATTTAGAAAACGTGTATATTCGCGGATCTAAAATACGGTTTCTTATACTGCCGGATATGTTAAAGAATGCCCCAATGTTTAAGAAGCAAGCTGGAAAAGGTGGAACAGCTGGTAGAGGAAAATCTGCTATATTACGAGCGCAAGGTTTGTATAAGTTTTAAATAGAAAAACAAAAAGAAATTAAAAAAATTCTTGTTTTAGCCAGAGGAAGAGGACGTCAACAACCTGGACGTGGAGGTCCAGCAGGTCCGGTTGGTGGGCCAGGCCGCGGAACATGGCAAGGTGGTCCTACTGGTGGAAGAGGAAGGGGAGGTCTCTAAAGTTTTTTTTATGTAACATAATTTTATAAAGGAATCTATGTAACATTATATAGGTTTTACCTATAAAAACCCAAATTTACAATATTGAGCTAAATTTATGTTTTGAATTAGATGTATTAACATATAAATCGTACCTAGATACAAGTCATAATGAAATGAAAATAAATTTGTAATAAAGGATTATAAATACATTCATACATGTACATGAATTTCTTTTATATTTTATTTAAGATTGGGTAGAACTTTAACAGAATTAAAGGCATAAGGGTATTATGGTTGAACTACGAACAGAATTATTTTTTAAATATCTTCACAAGTGCATACCCACAATGGTTTTATAATTAAAGTTATTTTATAAAACACTCAATTCCAACTCAATAACTAATATTTCTGATTATATCTAGCAGTGATGAAACAAATGTGCGAATATGATAGAAACTTACAAATAATGCAATTAAAACCTGTTAGAGCAGAAAACGCAAGCTGTTTTTTAGAATTATTTTCATTATCAAAAAAGGAAAATTATTATTTAAAGTAAAAATATTTTTTTTACATTTTTATTCAGTCATACTTAATTTTTAACAATATTTGTCATTTTTTAATATATTATAGATAAAAAATAACATTGTAAATTGCGAAAAAATAAAATATTTTAGGAGAGCTATTTTTCTTTTAAAATTTAATATTTTAAAAATTTCAATAAAATGAATGCAATTTATGAATTTTATGAGTAATTTTCGCTTTGTTTTTACAATGAATGATTGTTTAATTTCAATTAATTATTTATCTTATATAATTTTATGTTGTGTAGAATTATAATATGGAATTGATTAGTACATTAAAATTTTATAAATTATTCACAGAAAAAAGGAGAACTAAGCAATTTACAAAAACTGAATTGAACATTAGTAAAAAATCTTTTTAAAAAATATATTTATATTACAATTCTTATTTTAGTTAATAATTGAAACAAGCTTTAATTTGTAAATCTTTAAAACATACATAGTTGGAAGTTATCGATGTCATCACCCTGTTTGTTTTAATAAATCCACATATACAAAATACATATCTCTTTTATCAATTACAAAAAAAGTTTATGAAGCATCTAGAATTGGCACATATTTTATGAAACTTTTTATACAATGTTTTTGTTCTTGTTTTATTAGAATGGCATCCGCTTTATTTATAACTTTACTTTATAAATGAAAATTTAAAATTTTGTACCAAGTTTAATTTTGCAATTGATAAAAAAAAGCAAGAGGAGCCAAAATATTTCTAAAAGACTAAATCGCTTAGCCCATTTTTCTAATATGCAATATAATGTTGAAATTGAAAATAAATTGAGCGTATTTTCTTAATTAATGATCATTGCAGCATGATGTTTAGTAGTATGAAATGAAAATATTTAAATATAAAAAATATAAAGCGTTTTTTTCATTATATTTCTAATTAACCTACAAGAACTTCTTTTTTATTATTTTTTTTCGCTTTTTTTTTGAATTTATACTTTCTAATTAAAGCCAACTATTTAAACAAAACAAAAATCTAACTATTACTTTTAACTTTTAAAAATATATGCTAATTTCATATAACTACTACAGTTCTTCAAAGAATGCAACCCTTGCTTTTGTTGAACCCGATTTTAATTTTTTTAATGTTGAGTATTTTGTTTCACCCGACCTTAATTGTGCAGCGCTAATTATGTCCAGAGGACTTTCCTCAATTTTTAATAATTCAATTTCAGAACGCAGCGTTCGTAATTTATTATGAACCTGCTTTGATTTTTCCCAAAATTCAGCGCGATTACATTCTAATTCATTGGTAATGTGCTCCATGTCATTTTGTGACAAATAGAAGCCATTCGCTGACATTAAATCTGATCCTGTATCTGTAAGCATATCTGGTGTTATTGATGGATTCAAAGAAGTTGTTGATGGCACAAGTAATGATTCCATCGAACACTGTGCCGCATTTATTCCGCAGCTAAGGAACGCATATAATTTTTTTGTGGCTTCTTGTTCAGCTATTTGAGCAGTTATTAATTCCTGGCGTAATCTTTCAGCTTCCGAGGCACGCTTGTCTTTTTCTTCCGTCAAATGTTGCACATAGAATTCTGCATCGCGAATTTTTTTTTCGAGCTCATTTTTTTCCTTCTCAGTTTTTAAATGATTTTCACGCAAACGAATTAAGTCATCATGAAACTTATTAGCTTTACACTCTGTTAAATGGGCTTGTTCTTCATTCAATCTACTTTTTTCTACAAGAATTTCTTTAGTCTCCTCGGATTTTCTCTAAAAAATAAAGAATTTATGTTTTTTAAACCAAATAAATTATATTTACTTATTACCAGAGCTTCACTTGCAGATCTCATTTCCTCTTGCATAACCTGCAGTCGCCTTTCAAGATCTTGCTTTTCACGTTCAGCGGCCTCCCGCAATTTTTTCTCTCTTTGATATTTACTTCTTTCTATTTGGCGACGCTGTTTCTCTTCTTTCGCTTGGGCTTTCATTTGTTGTATTTCCATTGTGTCTTGTTTTCGTCTCTTCATATATAAATTATGGTTACCAATACATAAATCTAATATCTATAAGAATAAAAGGATTCACTTTTTTCTTCTTTTTATTGTAATAGATTAAAAAAATATTTACCATCTTGTTTATTCTTAGATTTTGTGAATAAAACACAAAATTAGGTGATTTTGAGTCAACTGGTCTTATTGTAAACTTTTTATCGTCAAAACTAACATCACGTATTTCAGACCACTGAAATGTTGTTTTTGGTGTTAATTTGTTATTTTTTTCATATATATTTAGGCCCATTGCAGTAACTCCCAGCCATAATTCAGAATGTTTTTTATTCTGAAATCATAATTATTATATAAAAGCAGCACACAAAAATCAGTTGAAATTTTACCGAGATTAAAAAGTAATTTACACCATACATATCTAAGTCTTGTGCAATTTTTAAATATTCCATTTCTACCTCGTCTCTAGTCATAGGTTCATGGTCTTCATACCTAAAAACTCGTTTACAGTATATTTATTTGCAAAAATTTTAAATTAATAATCACCATGTTTTTATCCTATCTTCCCACATCATGGGCGTCATTTGATACTGATCTATAACTCTTTGTGGTAAGAGTTCATTCGCTACAGCTGCCAGCATACCAGGCTTATAATTTTCGTAATCATAAGGCCCTTTAAAAAAAAAAGCGAAAAAATTAAATTATTCAAATATTTAACAAAAATTTATGCTTTTCATTTACCAAATTGTACGTGAACTGCATAAGAAGCAAGCAGTACAGATGCTTCAGGGGGACAATAAATGTCCATTGATAAAATACTTTGTTTAACTTGGAGAAAAAACAAATGTTGGGTTATTTCCTGAACCAATTCTTCACTAACATTTTCTGGGAAAAATTTAGCAAAAAAATTAAAAACACAACCACCATTCTTGACGTTGATTTTTTGATCTTTAACTTTTTTCTCCATTTTAAGCCAAACAACATCACCTCTTGTATCTGTATACTGTAAACCAAAATACCAAGTTTCTCTCAAACCAATCGTTCTGCATACCAAATCAAAAAGATCTTGACCACTTGCTTTGTGCTAAAAATGTATATGATTAGAGGAAGTGTATATCAAAATAATGTTATTACTTACTTCCAAATCAAATTCTAATTCAGAATCAAATGTGATAACTTTCACAGGAAAAGATTTCGTTGTCTTCCGAAATGGACTCATTTTTCCTTTTCATTTAAAAAAGTAAAATTACACTTTCTTTTCTAAAATTTCTTAATTTAAATTGTTGATTGTTGAAAGTAATAAAACAATCAAGATAAATATAAAGAAAAATACAAAAAAAAAACAAATAATAATATATTTAAATTTTTTATAATTTAAGGCACTGCATTTCTTATTTTAAATTTTAAATTTTATAAATAAATCATTCAAACAACCATAGGAAATTTTGAGACTTATCAAAATTGTCAATTTTAAATTGACACAACAAATTAAGAGATCGTAATGAATGTCAAAATTTTAAATATTTGGAAAATCAAAAAAAAAATAACATATAGTTAACCGAGCGTTTACATAGGCAGAATATTTTCAAGAAAGCTTGTACCTAATAATATTCTTTTAGGAGCTTGAGAATCCGGTGGCGAGAAAAAAAAATGTTGTTAAACTTGACAGACTTTGTTTTAATTAATTAATTATATGTCGATTTCATAATATAACATAATATAACCAGAATTAAATGATGATTGAAATTGAAAACAGAACAAGAGCAACTTTCCAAGCGAAATGTTTGAATTCGTATAAAATACACATATTTAAATGAGGCTGTTCAACACCTTTGTTATGTTTTTACAATAATATAAAATAAAAAAATGCATTACAATATTTTAACACGCATAAAACACTAACCAATCCTTAGAACATTCTAAAAGAATCAATAAAATGTTTTTAAAACTTCGGAACATTCGTGATGAATAATGAAACGAAAAAACCTTGAGTTGGATTTCTTTGTTTACCCTGTCCAAGATTACCTTTACGACTTTTCTCTGAAAAAAAAACTTCACCTTCCATAAAACATATATAAATACGTAACTTTTTCTCTCTTACAAACTGACATTCTTTTTTCCGGTAAAAGTTTATATATTTTCAAGAAATTGTTTTATATGATAATATTGAGAATGCTAAATATTGATATTATCTTAATGAGATTTGATTGCTCATCGCTTGTATCATCGCTAAACAATAAAGTTTTATAAACCCAATTAACAAAATTTGAAAAAATTGAGGTTGGCGTCTAAGATAAAAATTTATAGTGTTATCTCATTTTAAACAATTTTCTCACAATAGTATATCATATTAATCAAAAATTTTAAATGTCAAAATGTCAGACCCAAACCCAAATAAAAATATCACAAGTCAAATTAGACAGACGTTTCGTTCATAGAATGAAATAAGGAAAAAATTTATTGTTCCTTGGAAAGATAATTTTTATTGTTTATTAAAAGAAAACCAAAAAATAAAAAAAAAAAATAGAAACGAAAGAAAACCAATAAAAAAATTTTATTCAATAAATGAATTTTTTAATTAACAACATAATTTCTTCCGAGTAAGTACAATAAATTAAATAAAAATCAATTTTTATATTTTAAGCAACAAAAAAAAATACTTTTGTGAAGTGTGGTGCTTGATTTTAAATAAAAGTACGTACCTTACCCTACCCAACCTACCCTCGACAACCTATTTACTAAAAAATACTGCAAAAAGAAAAACAATTTTACAAAAAAAAAAAAAACAAAAAAAAAAATTTCCCCATATTTAGATATTTAAATTTTTTTAAATTTAAAATATTTTTTTAATTATTGAAGGTCAAAAAATTATCGCCATTTATAATTTTTTTTTATTAAAATTCCTGTACATACAAACTCAGTAAAAGTGTATTATTAATTTTTTTTTTTTTGTTAATTAATGTTGTGTTATTTCACAAAATTTTCAACAAAATGAGCAACAAACCAGCAAAATAAAAAAAGCATAAAAGGAAATTTTGATTTTCTAAATATAGATTTTTTCAAAAATACTTTCTTTATACATGCTTACATATATGTTAATAAAATAAAAATTTCAATTTTTAATACCTACTTATTTTGAAAGTTTTGATTTTCTTATATTTAATGTTATTTTTATACATACATATGTACAGACCATATAAATAGGTACATATCCATCTAATTATTTTAAATAATGTATATTTTGTACATATTCATGTATATATGTATGTATATATGGATTTATATTTACGTTGCTCATCTTTTTTTAATATTCTTTTTATATTATAAAAGAATCATAATAACGTCGCAATTGATGCAAAATAAAATAAAAGGTGTATATACATATGTACATAAATACAAATGCATGTATTAATAATCTATATACATAAATACGTGTATTACCCACATATACCTACATACATATATTATTTTCATTATTTTGTATTATTTTACTAAAAACAAAATATTGTAGTTTTTTTTCAAGAATTTATTTTAGTAAATTGGTTGAGCATTGTTCAGGAAATTTTATAAACCAAGTAAGTAGGTAACTACATAATCTGTGCTAATTCAAATGAAAATTAGTACAAAATTCTTTTATAATTTGTGCTAACAAAGCAATTGAAAATACATACAATTTAATAAGGCGTAATCAGATCCAAAACAAGACGACATTTTCAATTTTTCAAATAAAATAATATAACTATAAGTAAAAATTCACGAATAGTTTCACTATTTAATAAGAATTATTATATATAAACGCTTAGAATACATATGTACATACTTATTAAACATAGTTACGTACCTAGGTATAGGAATAAGCTATTTACCTACCAACCCACCTACTAGTTTACATAATCATATAAAAATTTATAAATAGAGATTAAAATTAAAATTTTTTTAACTGACTATCTATCCCCTTACATCTCTATATATTTTGTTTAAAATTCTAAAATTTTGTCTTGCTTTTATAATTTGAATATTTATATAGTTTTTTTTTCTAAATGTTTAATACAAAAACTATAAACTATTGCTCATTTAGAATTTTAGTCAATTTGAATTTGTTTTCTATAGAAAACGTACTTTTAGTTGGATACTTACTTAAGTACATACATACATATTATATAAAAGATTTATAATAAGCTTTTTTTGTATTTTGATTTTCTTTTGTTTATGGTTATTCAATATTGTCGAAATTTTTTTATTTGTTTATTATTGTTTTTATTTAAATACTTAACAAAAGTTTATAATTCTTTTTTGTTATTATTTTTGAGAGAATGAACTTGTATATACGAGTATGTACATATATTTATTCCTTCACGCTTTTCGCGTTGATGTTCTTTGGTTTTACTTGTTATTTTGATTAGGTAGAGTACTTACTATATTTACTCATCTATACTTTAAAAACAAATGGATATAATTATATTATATTTCATAATGTATATACAATATTGTTTATGACGTCCTTGGCTTTTAACTACATGTATACGAGCACTAAAATTACGTTTTTATTATTTCTTTTTCTTATACATTTTATCTATTATTATAATTATAATGTGATGATGACTATATTTATTATTACTCATCGATTAACATGCTATAGGTACTATCGTATAATAATATTTGCGGCAGATTACCTGCTATGCTACTAATATTATTCACTTGATAATTGTGGAATTTTATAATTATATTATTTTTGTTATTACTATTTTTTGTGAGTTTCGGGGAAAATTCAATTTAAAGATAATTTAGAACATTCTAATTCGCAAAATTTGAATTGATTGCTACTCAGTGTTTTAAAATCTAATGTTTTTACTATGTTGACAAAATCTACAATAAATTTACAATTAAATATTACTTATATACTTAATTTATTTTTAATTAATTGAAGTAATTATTAATCATAATTCACTTAAATATATGAATTTAAAAAACAAATTATTGTAAACCTAAAATTAACATCGAAACTAATTATTGCAAAAGAAGATAAATTGGTAAAATTATTTGAATTAAATTTTCTAAAGATGTGTGTAAAAGTAATTTTTATGTATATTTTAAGTAGACAAAAGCACTAAAAACACATAAATTTTTATAAAATAACATTTTTTAGGGGTTTATTGGAACTTGTTATTAAAATTTTGCATATAAATTTTTGTGTTTGATAAAATTGGTTTTTATGTGGTATACCTACTTTCCTTTTTCATATCAAAATTTTTTAAGTGATTTAATAATTTCCTTTTTATTATTTTTTTCTAATTTTAGTGTAAATATATTATCAATGACTTATAGCGAAACACATATTTTTCTTCCATTTGTGGCATTCAAGAACACTAAAATTACAAAACATCACCAACAATATTTAGCATCACATCATCAGTTACCATATTATAATAAATAATTATTGACGAATATATTACATAATAATGCTTAGATTATAAACTCAGTTTACTAATATATCACTTAAAATAATTATAATTTTAAATTAAGAAATTTAATAATTCTAATCAACAATTCTAAAAGATCTAAATACTCAGTAGATATAATACTAAAACTTTTAACCCATCACATGCTCTTTTTATTTATTTTTTTTTTATAACCATACATGTAAGGGTCTTAATTTTTATTATTTTCTTTGAAAATCGCTTTATTTATTTAATAAATTCATTTTCATCATTATCATTCATTAATATATACATAAAATCACATTTAACAAATCATGAACGAATCAAGACTCATATCAGAATTTATGTCATTAACTGGAGCAAATCCAAATGATGCAATGCAATGTCTTAGAGCTTGGGATTGGGATTTAAAAAGAGCAATTACAGACTATAATGGTAAGAGTTTTATGTTATAATTGAACTGCAATTATTATATAAAAATAAGTCTAAAATTTGATTATTAAAACAAAAATAAGTGATTATTATTATATACAACAAATATGAACACAAATTTTTTTTTTGTTTTTCTTTTTTGGTTATTTAATTTCTAAAGATACTTGTCATTTTGATTATCGAACAACAGCATCTGATCTTGACAATTTCAGAGATGATAGCAGCCGAAATTTAATTGATTTAAATAATGACTGTAATAATAGCACAAGTGATAATAATAAACCAAATAAAATTGTAATTTTACCACAATCATCACTAATACCGTCAATTGGAACGCAATCACAAACTTCAGGAATAGAAAAGCGTCCAATTTTGTCAAAAACTGATTCAATTGACGTTGTGGATTGTAAGTTGTTAAAATTTACTATTTAATAAAATTAAAAAGTTAATGTTTTTTTCCAAAAATAGAAAATTCAGAGATTATAAATCAATGTAGAGAAAATTTATATAACTGTTATATAAAAATATAATCACGTTTGCTAAATAAAAATATTGATTGGAAAAAAAATATTTACAATTTTTAGGTCGAAAGCTCTCTCGTGGTATATCACGTGCAACAGATAATATAAATCTGGTTTCAAAAGCTCGTACTGAAATAGCAATGGATTTTCGTGGTAATAATAGTAATAATAGTCATTTGAAAAAGAATCAAAATTTGGAACAACAAATATCCAATAATTCTTTGGACACACCTGATTTTACGTTTATATTACCAAATATTTATAATTATAAGGACTCGTTTCGAGTATTTTTAGAAAAAGATCTTATTGAATGCTCTACTTTGCAAGCTTTAGAACAGTCACATCGCCTTAATTGGTGGGTTGATCATGGTTTATGCAGAAAATTATGGCCATTAGCAACTACAGGTTTAATTTTAAATTGATAATTCTTTTTTATAAAATGCTAAATTATAAAAAATTTTTAAGGTGATGGAAATTGTTTGTTACATGCTGCGTCTTTAGGAATGTGGGGTTTTCATGATAGAAAATTAACATTAAGAAAGGCTTTACATGGTATATTATCGAATGGCAAATGTCGTGATGCATTATGGCGAAGATGGCGTTTCCAACAAACTCGTTTAAACAGGCGAGCTGGATTTGTTTATTCTGAAATAGAGTGGGCAAAAGAATGGGATGAACTAATATCTATGTCATCGCCAGAGCCGCGTAATAGTATCAATGTACGTAGACGTTTTTCTACTTCAACTGATCGTCATAGTTTAATAAGTTCAGAATCTATTGATGATTCGGCAACATATGAATCTCTTGAGGAAATACATATACTAGCTTTAGCACATGTCTTACGTAGGACAATAATTGTCATATCGGATACAGTATTGAAGGATTTGAATGGCGAAGCTATGGCTCCAATAACATTCGGTGGTGTTTATTTGCCTTTTGAAATAAATTCAACTGAATGTAATCGAGGCCCTTTATTATTGGCATATGATATGGCTCATTTTTCTGCGTTAGTTCCGATGGAAACAGGGTCAGAGTATCCGCCAGCTCTCATTCCTTTAGTTGACTATGAAAATGTTTTATTACCAGTGCAGTTTTGCATTGATCCAGGTGAAAATTTTAATTGGACAGAATATGATGGCGCTGAAGGAAATTGGGCTCTTAGTGAAAGAGAGCAAATGGCATTGCTAAAGGAATACTTAGATATTGTGTACGCAACTAACTCCACTACTCCAGATGAAGATGTTTTCGAAGATTTAACGGATGATGAATATGAAAAAAAATTTGTTGAATCTGAAATTGTAATACCCCAACAACAGCATCATCCGTCAAACCAATATAATTTGGTTGCAGATGAGCCTCACCAGAGCAAAAGCAAAGCAGCAAAACAGCTGCAAAGCGTTGCAAAACAATTTGGTAGCATTGGAAAAAGTATGAGTAAGAAAATCAAAAAGAACATTGGTTCAATTACAAAAATCGGAAACAAAAGTAACGGTGGCAATAAATTGAAAAACACGTTGTCGTCAGGAAGTTCAACACAAAGTTTTACATGTACGCGTCTTTTGTGTGCCAAATTAAGAATAAAACGTCATGAATATCAAGAAGAAATGATACGAAACTACTTAGAATGTGCCCGAACAAGATATTTGGATTTGGAAAAAAATCGAGATAAAATTGGTAGTGCGGAATTGGATAGGCAACAGTTGGAAATGTTACAACTTTCTGAACCAGACATCGGTAATTTAAATTGTAATAATTATTTCTAATTACTGGAATTTTTAATTTTGCAGGAGTTGTTTACTGTGTAAATATTGGCTGCAATAATTTTGCAAATTCAGAAACAAGTTACTTATGTTATGAATGCTACGAAAAACAAAAACAGCGGGAGTCTAATTCAACATATTTATCAATGGCACCACGTTATGGTACAGGAAAATCTAAATTTTATACTCAAGCTGATATGCAGGCCCATGAAAGTATTAAAAATTTACCACCTGCAAAACGTTTAAATGACTTAGATCAGACATTATACTTATCAAATTCAACTTTTTTCAATGATAATAATTTATTAAAAAGTGGTGGTAGTAGCAGCAATAGTAGCACAAATAGTTGTACTTCATTATCAAATTCTGCTAACAATGCAAGTGGTGTAAATTCATTAAATAATGTTAATAACAGTCCTAATTTAACGCCAGCAACTTCATCAACTGGTAACAATCTAGTCAATCGTGAATCTTCAAACCGTTATGGTTATAGTCCAACTGTTCGTTTAATTGATGAAGAACAAGAAGAATTTAATAAACCAACTGGTACAGTATCAGTTTTTAGTCCTGGTAATACAATTTCAACATCAAATCTTAATGGTAATAATGGTAATAATAATAACACCAGCAATAATACTAACATTTGCAACATTAACCATTCATTTAAAAACAATGTTAATAATAATACGAATCATGCTCCAGTAACAAGAATTATTAAAATAGAACTTGAAGGAGAGCCACAACCAATTTTAACTTCCAATCGAAATCATCTAACAACAACTGAATTCGATACAAAGCCATGTAAAACATTGGGTTGTAATTTTTATGGTACATTAAGCACAAATTTTTATTGTTCAAAATGTTATCAACAAATGATTAAAAATAAAAATGATACATTAATTGATTTATCATCACCTTTGCCTCAGTCAGCTACTGCAACATCAAATAATATTATTAAAACAACAACAACAACTTCAGCTAAACCGACAACAATTTATCCGACTGCAACAGCTACAATTACTAAAACAGGTAATAAAATAATGTCTGATATATAAATTTTTTCTTAGGATTAATAAAAAAAAAGAAAAAGTATAAGGTTTATATTAATATATAAAAGAAAAAATAAAATGTGAGGAAATAGAATTTAGAAATTTAATACATATTACAATTTAAATATGTATAAATAGATATTATATTTGTATTTACAAAAATGCAAAAAAAAAAACATTAATTTATAATTATTCTTAACAAAAAAAAAAACTCAAAAAAAAAAAAAATATTAAAAAAAATCAAAAATTTATTACACATGATTTAATTAAGAGAAGGTTAAGAGGAATTGGTATAAAAACTATAAAATGAAAAAGAAATTCAATTCTAAATTCAAAAATTTAATTATCCGTATTTCTTGATAAAAATAAATTATTCAGTAAAAATAATACAAATAAAAATTTTATATTTAAATTATTATTAAACCTATGTATTCTGCTGAACTAATAAAATTCAATAAAACAAAAACAACAGTTCGGACTGAAATTTTCTAATAGTAACTTGATTTTTTTAATTAAAGTTGAAATTTTAAAATAATATTGCTTTTAATAACTAAATAAGAAATGTAACTTTAATATAAAAAAACAAAAATTAAAATTAAATGGAATTCATCATTAACATGTCCTTAAAAAATCCCAACTACTCTATTAATGTAATTTTAAATTTTCTTTTAGTAAACCTCTGTGATAAAAATATACTTAAATTAATTAATTATTTTGTTGAAACTTCATTTGTTGTTATAATTGGAAAATTTATTTCTTCAAAATAATCATAATATTTTTTTTATTGTTCCGTCCAAAAAAACAAAGTTATTTAATACTGTTGTTAAAGAATGAAAAAAAAAATTATATTGCTCATATATTATATTAAAATTACCATAAAATATAGTAAATAATAGAAATATATAAATGGGAAATGATGAATAAAATTTAAAGCTTTGTTACTCATTATACAACCACATTTAATAATGCTTTTATAAAAAAATATTAAATGAAATGACACTGTCAAATATAGGCTTCTTGTATTTGAATCTAGCCTATAATCTTTAATTTTTTTAGTTCTTTATTAATATAAAATTATTTATTTAAAGGAAGAAGATGAAATGTTCTTTAAGAAGATAACAGATGAAATGTTTTTCAATGGTCAGATACAATATTTTACCAAGATTAAAATTAATCATTTAATTAACATATATAATAAAGAATTAAACTACATATAAATAAAATGAAGTCAAAAAAATGAATTGAATTGAAAATTTCTTTCATTTTAATTTTTTGTCTCTATACCAATATCTCTTGCTATTGAATCGTTTCAAATATTAAGATAAGACAACACATAAAAAATGCTTTCATAAAAAAATTTTAATTTAAAAAAAACAATTATGATTGTATTAAAAGAAAAACCAGAATGAAAATAGGATAAAAATATAAGAATGTTTTGAAATTTCACACATCATATTTATATATTTTTTAATATCACATACTTATAAAACAACAATTTACATAAGCAATTTTTACCTTTATTACTCTCCTTTTATTTATTTTCCTAGCCATTTTATTTATTTAGCATCTTATTTAGTTATTTTATCCTAAAACTACTAATTATTTCACTATTTTTAATTTTTAATACATATTCAATTCTTACAATTTCGGAATTTTTAAGTCCAATACTTAAAACCTCAAAAATTTATTAATAATATTTCATCGTCTTAAATGATGCTTCCTAAAATGCACAGTTTTTACAGGAATGAATGCATACATAACAAAAAGTTAAAACAATTTTTGAGGTGATTATTACTTGACATACATATATTTTAATTTGTATTTAGATAAAAATATTCAATTGTTTAGAATGATAAAAATTTAATTTCAATAAATCTCCGTATTTAAATAAGCATCTTTCAAACAAAATTAAATAATTTAATTAAAAGTTTTTATTTTCGGAGAAATTATAATTAAAAAATGTCTCGAAATTATTATATTTTAAAAATTATGAACCAAAATATAACTAATTTCCATAAATCTTTATGTTTCTTTATAAAGGTGAAAATTTTTTTTTATTTTTAAAATAAAAATCACCTCAATAAATATTAGAAAAATAATTTTTTTCATAAATATATAAAGAAGAATGATTAAATAACGAAAATCTTGTACTTGACTAAACTTAAGGGCTTTGTCAAAAATCTTCTTCAGTATTATTTTTAATTCAACTTTTGTACTTCGAATTAATTATAAATTGTAATAGAATTGTTTTCTGATATGTAGAGTCAATCAAATTTTTATTCTTAGCTTATAAGTTTTCTACATTTTTCCTTTTACCATATAATTTGCCTTTTAACCTACGTATAACTTGATGATTACAAGTATATTTTATTTATATTTCTCCTCTGATGAACTTTATGACTAAATATTTTGTTTATTTATCAAAATTAATTGCTTTTGAATTATTTTCTGTAAGAAAAATATTATATTCTTAAAACTTGCTAGATTCTGAAAATTTAATAATCTTAATTTTTTTTCAAAAAGTTTTCTATTAAACATAATTTTGCAAATTACTACTGAGCTGCTATTTTTCATTAATACTACTACTAAACTAGTATACTAATCTGGTATGTAGTATTAATTTTACCAGTGTTAGTATTTCGGGTTTTATGATGGAAATCTTTGCTTTCTAAATCTGTTTTTGATTCTTTTTTTGGTACACACGAATATTACACCTCACATAAACCAAAATGAATAATTATTAGATTTTTATATCTAAACAAATTTATATTTTTCCTTAAAAAAAAATACTATGTTATTATTTAACATTTAAAAAATTGTTTTATTTATTTACATATTTCTCTTATTTTTTTTTAATAAAAGAAATACTTTTTACATAAAAATGTAAATGTGCCTTTATTAATCGAATTTTCGAAAGCATATTTTTTAAATTGCCAACTTAAAAGAAAAGAAAAAAGTAAAAAACAAATAAAATGCATAAAATATTTAAGTTCTTTTATTATGCAAAAATTTAATATATTAAATAAAAAAAAATTTAAATTCAATTGAATTGAAATATGAAACACTAAAATTGAAATTTATTGAAAATAAAACATTAAAAAAGTGTTAAAGATCTTTCTGTTTTTAAGATTTATGTAAAAAATTTTATTCTTAATATTAAAAGTTGTATACATGTAAATATTTATAAGGACAATGTATATTTTAAATTAAAAATATTATTTATAATCTTAAATAATATTATACAACTTCATTTTAAATATTATAATAATTTAAATAAAATCAAAATACAAAGCAAACCAAAAAATCTACTTTAATCTAAGAATTTATAATGAATGTTATTAATATTCCAATTACCTACTTACATTTTTTTTTTAAACATGTATACACACTAAAAAATGGAACTCTTAAAAAACTAAATTATTTATTTTTAACAAAATAATTGAAGAGTTATGTATAATTATACATAATATTAATATTATATTTAAATAACAAATTATAAATTTATAACATTTAATTATATATTTATTAATATATAATTATTTATTTAAATTATCTTTAATAAGAAAGAAAAGCATCACTAAGTGAATTACAATTATCACTTTTTATATACAAAATTTAATAAAATTATGTGTATAAAATATATTAAATAAAAGCTTAAAAATTAAAATAAATATAAAAAATATTGAAAATTTTTATAGGCATAATCTGGAGAATTATGAAATAAAATAAATTAAGATATTTATATGATATAAGTATAAATTTTAAATTTTTTGTTATCATTTGTAAAATCACATAATTTTTAAATCATATTTTTTTTAATATAAATAAATTTATGGAATCAATAATTATTTTTCTAAGATAAATTTAAAAAAAAATATTTTTGAAACTTATTAATGAGAAATGTGATTTTTCTGTTTAAATATTTACCATGCACTCCATAAAATAAAAATTAATCAAAGAGTTTTATTAAGTTTATATTTTAAACTTTTACGAAAATTAATTAAAAATATTAGATTCCAACAAAAATTAAAGATTTAAATTAGATTTCAACAGTTTCCAATTGTATTGTCTTGAATTGTTTTATTTATTTATAAAATTTAAATTTTCCAGATTATGTTTAGTTTCTTTTAATGTAAAAAAAAAACGATATTTATAATGCTGTTTTTTTTATTATATAATTTTTTAATTTATTACCTTGTTTTGTTGAATTATTTAAAATAATACATTATTAAAGTGTATAAAAGCGAAAAATAGAATATCATATTTATTAAATTTAGTAATTTATTATTAAATATATTATTACTATTATTATTAAAACTACTCTAATTATAAATATTATTATTATTATTATTATATTTTATTAACTACTAAAAAGCAGATGGCATAAACCCTTTTCAGTAATATTTATCACTATTATAATGCTATTAACGTTAAATTTTAATTGTTTTACAAAAAAAAAGGAGAACAAAATATTGAAAGAGCTTGTTTTTATATTGAAATAAATAATATATTTAAATTAAAACGTAAAAAATTGAAAAAAAAAAGAAAAACATATTCATTGTATCATTTGAAGGAAAACAAAACAAAAATTTGAAAAGAAAATAATATAAAATGAAAAGAAATGAAAAATACGAGTAAAAGTTATTTAAAAAAAAAATTTAAATTTGTTTTTTTCTTCTCAAAAATTTTTAGCTTAATTTCAACCTTGTAGTTACCAAAATAAGCTATTGTCTCCGTTAAAATGATAGTTTGCACTCCTGTTTCTTAAAGGTTTCAACTTAAATTACTTTCTAACGAAAGAATTAAAAACCATAGGAAAATATATTAATGCATGTTATTTGGAAAATGTGAAACCATCCAATACGAACTGGAATACAAATAAGAATTGTAATATTTTTTTGTAATTTTTTGAATATTTATTACAATATTTTAATTATAAAGTTCACGGTAATGTACAGTAAGTTCTATCAGCTTTTTGAAAAATACACAGAGCCCACTACATTGATATCAATCAAATAAAGAACTAGAAAAAAATCTGTTAACAAAGCTAGTCAGCTGGTTTTCAAGGAAAGGCAAATACATCGTTGATATAGCAGAGATGATATACTTAAACCAAATTATGTATATACTTCATTATTGAACAAAATTTTTTAGAATAATTATTTTTATAAGAATTAAAGCAAATTTAACAGTTTTAGAATTTAATCCCAATTAGAAAGTGCTTAAGAGTTGCATCCTTTGTACTATTTGAATATACGGTGGGAGAGTGGTTTCTTATTTGCTGTGCTAAAAATATATTTAAATATATTTTTGATATATTTTTTATTACATTTTTTTATAAAATTTTATTTTTCTATAAATGTACCGAAGACACCACATTTTGGTCTAAAAAATTTGTACAAGGGTTCCTAGAAAACCACATTAAATTTGAATTTTCAAAATTAAAAAAAAAAGATAAAATAAATTGCCAATAATTTTAAAATATTTTCAATTTACTTTTTTTTTATTAATATTTCAAGCGTGTCTACATTTTTCAATTATAATTAATGAAAAGAATAATTTTGAGCTTAAAATTCTATTATTATTTTATTTATTTTTTTTTTTATTTGTCATATTTTTATATTTAAAATTTAATATTATGTATACAAGTTAGCTTATTCATTTTTTTTTTGTTTATCGTACAGAACGAATTTTTATAAAATTCATAAGGGTAAAGCTTTTTGTTTTTTGTATTTTTATATATTCATTATATTACTTTATAACTCTTAATTTTTTTAAGGTTCATTTACATATACATATTATTGCTAATTTTAATAATTTATATTTTCTTAAATTCAATTAAATAAAATATATTGTAGTAGGTGCATATTCCTAAATTTATATTTCTGTGTATGTATATATTTATGTACATGAATTATCATTATTAAAATTTGGGCAAATTGTTAAAAACTTCTTGAATATAGCTTTCACAGATCGAATTTTTAAAGACATAAAAAAAGGAATAGTTTAATTAACGACCCCAAACTTAGGTAAGTAAATCACGAAAAAATTTTGAAAAATAATCATTTACTATTGTGCATGGATTGGTAATTTTTTGGTCATTATTTTACTGTGTAGATACGTAAAATGATTTAAAAATCTCTTACAAAACAAAGTTTTTAATAAGTCTCCCTGACCTAGGTTGAATTTTAATTCATTGTTCTCATATGAACTTTCATTGTTTCATTATTTCGAAAGAATTGGTTATTGAAATGCTAAAGAATGTGTTAAGTAATATTTCAAGAATTAAGAAATTATAATTATAAATGAAGTTTCTATTATTTGGCAAAATTACATTAAAACTATGTTGCTACATTATTCAGCAATTACAATTTGTAAGCTGAATTATACCGTGTTACTGAAGTTTTGAATTTAGAATATGTGTAGATATAACTGTGCACGTTAAAAAATGGGAAATGATAAAATTTGAGGAATTCTATTTTACAAACAAAAAAAAAACACAAATGTTTTTATAATATTCGTTATTATTATTATTGTTATTTTTATTATTATCATTACCATAATTCCTTTTTTTTTTTAATAATTTAGCAAATTTTAACATTAAATGCGTTCTGACATAATTTTTTGTATTTCGGTTTTTCTTTTATTTCTACATAATTAAATACCTGCTATAAATACATATTGTTATTCTTGTTTTTTTTTTATATTTCTTTATAAAAATGTGATTAAAACTGACATGCTATGGGTGTTTACCAAAATGCAGATCTAACATTAATTTGACTTATTCAGCAGTTGAAAACGTATTGCTGAATAATTCAAATTGGCATTAGATCTGTATTTTGGTACATGCCCAATAACTTCATAATTGCTCTAATATGGTATTAGTACATAATTTAGCTTATGAGTTTTAATTGCTGAATTATATATTAATACCATATTGCTGTAATTTTGAAATTACGGATATTTTTCCTCTTTCATTGTGTTATGATGGATTTTCATTTAATTTTTGGAAATTTTTCTTTTTCTTTGTTTTTCCTCTTTTTTTTTTTTTGTAAATATTATTTCTATTTATTTATTTTAATATACAACTTACTTGACTAAGTTTAAAATATTTTAATCATACATATCATATTTCTAGTCAAAATAAAATCTTAGTTAATAATTATACAAAAAAAAAAAATTAATTAATTTCGAAGTTTTTGATCAAAAAACAAATAAAAAATAACATATGTATACAGTCAAAATTATACAAAAATTAAATTAATATTACATAAAATAAAAGGGCAAAAATAATTGTGTATATCACATTAAATTGACATCCTTATTTTATTTCTTCCTTAGATCTTTCATTCTTGATTTATAAATTAATTACACAAATAAAAAAAAAAACAAATTTTCTTTTACAATTTTTTTTTATAAAACTAACATTTACAAATACATAATTAAAATTATAAAATTTATTAAAATAAAACCCGTAACTTCAAAATTACTGAGTGTAGTATACTCAGTGTTATTACATTTTTAATTCATTCCAGCTGAAATGAATTAATAAAACTCGTAAATTGAATTGTGTACTAATACACCGAACACAAATTTTAAAATCAGGGAGAATTCATGAAATAAAACCAATGTTTAATTAAACTTTATATCACTGAAATAAATAGGTAATTCTGGGCGACTACCAAAATGCAAATCTGACATCAATTTAACTTATTCAACAATACTGTTTTGATTAGTGAATAAGTCAATTTAAAGTTAGATTTACCATCTTGGTGGACGACCTATGTTTCAATAATTTTGTTTTTTATACATATTAACTGTAGAAAATTTAGCATAATTTCGAACTTAAGGTTTATTTTATTAAAACTAAAAAAAATTACTAGAAATGAAAATATTTTTTGCCTAACTTCAAGAAAATCATATGTAAGAGTTTGAATTTAAATACTTAAATATTTAAATATTCTAGACAAATTTACCGAAATAAATTGAAAATAAAAACTAAATTTATTGTATATTATCAAAGATTTTTATATAATAGTTTTCATATTAAATTGGTTTTATTTCAAATTGAGAAATTAAATTCATATTGTATATTATTTATTATTTATCATAATATAATATTTTTTGTAGTATACAAACAAATAATACAAATAATGGTCATGTTTTATTCTATGTTACAATTTAAATTCAAAATTTTTAATTTTTAAATAATTAAAATAAATCAATTTTATTTTTATTTTGTGATACTTATTTCTTGTTTTTTTTTTTTTATATTAATTTCAACGCAGTGTTAATTCTGATTATATATATAAATTAAAATTATATAATTATATAAATAATTTAAAATTAATTATTATAAACAGGAATTAAAATATTCAATCATATTTTTTAAGATGCTTCATTTATAATGAATAAAATAAATTTCTAAGCTCAATGATTCTGAATAAGATACCATATTACTTTAAAGCGATACGGTCCCAATGGGGAATATGGGTTTTATTTATATTTTTATTTTTTTTTGTATTATTAAATTATGTATATATTTTTATATTAATTTGTTTTCTTGAAATATAAATATTTATATATGTATAATACAGTTTTGAATACGTCTGTTAAAAATTAAATTCATTTAGAAATTTTTTATTCTCTTTTAACAATTCGTTTTTTAATTATATAACATATTTTATTTTTGGTTACATAATGTTGGGATATTTTAATTAATAATAATATAGAAAGAAAAAATCAAGTATTTTAGTATAGTTAATTTATGTACACATAACTTTATAGATTATATAAAAGTTGTTTTGGTATATAGAAATCATATCTTTTTTTTTTTATACATATTATCAAAATCTTCTCATTTTATTAATATTGAATTTTGTAACAAATATTAACTTTATTTAAATAATCTTAAAATTTTATTAATATTATTTTTATCATAAAGTAATAATACAACCAAATAATTCATTTGTATTGCATTTGTTCATCTTTCAGTATTCAGAATAGGTACTCGTGTATTCAGTATTTCAGTACTCGTGAGACTAAGCAAATTCAAATCTTTATTATTGTGATTGAGACATTGACAAAGACATGATTTCTTGTAATTTCAAGATCTCTATAATATGCACACATCGCTAACTACCTAATAAATATTTTTTATTGAATACAATTTAAAGAAACCTAAATTTTTTTTCGTTTTTAAATCTGTGTTAATAGAAGTTGTTAAAATGTTTTTTTTTTTTTTTCAATATAAATATAGTTGTTGCAGTTTACAATATATTGTTTAATATCATTATAACTTAATATTGTAATATTATTGAATTATAATAGATATAGTAGCATAAATAATTTATATTTATTAATCATTCATGTTCTATCTTAGAAATATCACTTGAGATGAAAGTATATTAAGAATATAATATCCCATCACCTTGAGTGATGCATCTAAGAAAATATTGATGATTATTAAATCAGGATTATATATTGTTCTTTGTTTTTTGTAATCATTTAAAAATTCTACTATTTTTTTTTATTTTCATTTAATTATCAATAATGTTGTTTCGTTTTTTCTATATTTTTAAAACAGGCATAGGAATTTAAATAAAATAATAATTAGATTTTTTTATATAGAATAAAAATATACATTTTTTTGTTTTATTAAATAATAAATTATGTTCGACTTGTATAATTTATATTTCTAAATATTTGCATGAATATACAATTTTTGTTTTACAAGTTTTTTTTTCAAATATAATCGATTTTACTATTCAATTTCTTAACATTTTTAGTGAAAGAAGTACTTTTACTACTAAAACAGGTTAAAAAAATGTGAAAATTTTAAATATAAAAGAAAAAAAAGAAGTGTTTAAAATAGAGTATGAATTTCTTATATTTTATTTGTTCTACATTATTTACATTACAAGTTACTAAAATTTTATAATTATATTTTAAATTATAAAAGAGAAATTATTTTTATGTATTTTTATACATTAAGATATAGAAAACATTTTAACTATTAAAAATTCGATGGGAAAGAATGATACAATCATGATTTTCTTCAATGTACATATACAATATAATAAAATAAACGTGAAATAAACATTTTAAAATAAATTATTATGTCCAAAATGCTGAAGAATTTATTTTTAGTAAAATAATTGGAGCCTAAAAAGAAATTATCAAACTGTGTACTTAAACGTGTTTTTCACTTATTAAAATTCATATTATTAACGTATAATTAAATTAAACTCATATAATCTTAATAAACACCAGCAAATGATTGTAATTTTTTTTTTATTAAAACATTTTTGAATTCTGTATTAATTTCAAAAGAAAATATTCCAAATTATTTTATTTGTTAAATTTAACAATAATTATTTTATTTGTAAAATTTAACAATTTATAAAATTTAACAATAAAAAAATTGATTTATTTTTTTTTTATGAAAGATTTTCATTTAATAAAATTATGCTTCCAAATACTGCCATTATAAAATAATTAAACTGATCACATATTTTACTAAAATATTGATAACAAACCATATTAGACGTATCAGTTGAGATGATGGGTATTATTCGAAAGTATTGAGATTTTCAATATAGAATACTAAATATCTAAATTTGAAAATTATAAAATTTTTAAATAATATTCCATCATCTGCGTCTAAAGAAAGTATGGATAATAAACACTTTTTTTATTTTTGTTTATATTTTTATAAATAATTTCAAATATAAATGTTTATTTTAAGTAAATTAATTTTATATATTTTGTAATAAAATGATTCATACGATATTAATGAGTTTTGTTTACAAATGCATAATATATTTTCGATAATCTAAAGAAGTTTTAATAAAAATTTATTGTCTTATAGTCAAAAAAAAAACAAAAAAAAAAATTCATAAAAATAATTTGATAAGTGCAAAAGTAGATTCTACATTCTTTTTTAAAGATCAAATATAACAATAATTTCTAAATATTTTAAAGTTTTCGTCTAACATACAAAAATGATTATTCGCTAGAATAATTGAAATAAAGGGCGGAATAATAATTTTTGGCTAACAAAATTATTATAATAATAATATAATTTATATATAAATAATAAACAAAATCTAATTGATTATTAGATATAATAAATAATTTCTTTTTTTAATTTTAATAAATAAATTCTATATTATATAACTAAGCCGACAAAAATGCAGAAAAATTATTATTTTTTGTTGTTATTTCTTATAGAAATTTATTTACGTTATTGAATTATTGATGTCAGCATATTATAAATTACAATATTTAGCCATTTTGTCCCAGTGTAGAGATATTGGTACTGACTTTTCAAATTTCTTCGAGTAATTGTTTTTTGAATTTCCTTTTGTGGCAATTTTGCACGATGAAATTTTAAAGTCTGTGCACTATGTTAGACAAATGGATTAAAAATGCGTTGTTAAAATAAAAATTTACAAAAGAATGCCTTTGAAATTCAATGTTTTCTATATTCCAATGCTTTTTTTAATTACCAAAAAAAAAAATCAAAAAGATTTTAATTTACACAAAATATAAATACAAAAACTCTGTATGTTCTAGTTTATTTTAAATTAAAACTTTATAATTTTGAAAACCTGTAATGTTTTTACAAATATGTTTTTACAAATAAAAAAAAAATAAAATTTTTAAATTACTTAATTGATGTTGTGATTTAAAGAAAGTTTCTTTTTATTTATGTTACAAATAATTTAAAATTTAATAATAATTAAGCTTTTTTTGTAATATATCATTCTATATATGTATATTATATTGGAATTGGAAAAAAAAATGTTTTTGTTTGATTGATTTTAAAATTTTTACATTATAAGGATTAATTTAATTTTAAAGGAAAGAAACATAGTTATTAAATATAAATGTACAATATTTCTGTTACATACGTAATATTTATAATTAAAAATCATATATTTAATAATAATAATAATTATTTTAGAATCTACTTAGACAAAAATCTAATAAAATTTTTCTTTTTTGAAATTTTTAATTAATTTTTTCTGTTCTATGTAATGTCAATTTTGTTTTTTTTTTATTATTTATTTTAATTGAATTTATTTTATTTTTTTTTTTGCTTAATTTTTAAAAAGAAAATATCTTATTTATAATTAGTTTTTTTATTACATAATAAAATTATTATGATGCACCATACGTTAAATGTAAGCAATACGTATATAACGATGTAAACATTTGATAATGAAAATATGTTGAGGTAATAAAAAATACATTAATTAAAACGAATCTTAATAAATCTTGTTGTATCACTTGACCATTATTCATAGTACGATCTAAATAAAATTGACCAGTTTGATAAAATCTTTCCAATAATTGTTCTTTTTCAACAAAACGATCATATAACCATTTTGTTAATGCTTCACCATCTTTTGGTATCTAAAATTTAAAATAAAATTTATATTAAAACAAAAATATAATTTAAATACAAAAATTATAATTACATTTGAAACTTTATATAATCTATAAAGCATATATGTTGTACATGGTTTTCTAATACCATGTACAATATTCGGTAAATCCAATGGTATTGCATTTGGATATGCTATTGTTATATCCAATATATATTCAAGTAAACTATTCTCTGAATTTTTATTATTATTTGATGATGTACAACCTATATTTGTATTAGCTGTATTTGTATTTGCCGATGATCTTAAATTTATTAAATTCTTTTTTAATCCTGAATTTCCATTTGGCAATGTTTCATCTTTTACTTGCGCTCCTAAATTATTTTTATCAGTCGATGATGTTGATGATGATGTTGATAATGATGATGATGATGTCAAGTTTCGTTCAGTATCATTTTCTAAATTAAATTCTTTTGTTGTTTGTTGTTTTAATAATGTTGCTGAAGTTGTTGTAGTTGTTGATGTTGAAGTACCTGAATCTGATGGTATTGCTGACGATGATTCTGCTATTAAATTTTAAAATAAATATTATTAATTCAAATTAGATTTTTGAATTTGCGTTATTATAATAGAATATTTATTTACCATAAGTTGTGTTAAAGCTTGTGATTGATGGTACCTCAATTTTTTTATATGTGTTATCATTTTTATTAATTAATGAACTTCTTTCCATATCAGTATTAATTTTATTACAAGATTTTGTTATTCCAGTATTATCAGATTTGACTGCTTCTTCAACCATTACATCCATAATTGCTTTTAATGCACCAACTCTCGGCAATGTTACATGTTGAAGAAATGGAAAATTGTTCTTTTTAGCAAACCGTTGGCTAACCTCACGACGTTTTCTTAAGAAACCACCTTCTGGAAAAAGTACCATCCATTTTCGATTTCTTTTTAGAAATGAATTTTTAATATGGGTTTTAAGACATTCCACTGATTCATCACGATTTCCTTTACCCTAAAAGTACAAAAAAAAAAAATTAAAATAAGTATATTTTATTTTTCTGCAATAAAATACTTTTAACGTATTTTAATAAATCTTTCAAATAATTCAGGTAATTACTTTTATTGAACTCAAAATGAAAATAAAGATTTTTAATGTAATTATAATTAAAGTCATTAGATTTTGAAATAAAATAAATAATTTGAGATCAAATCAATGGTGTGTAAAATAGCACATTTCCTTTGAAAACCGAAAACCTTATTTTATAAAAAACAAAAACTTGATCTTAAATATTCTCATGGATACGTCTATGTCAAAATTGTAACATTATTGAATAATTATCGCATATATTTTTGGGGTTAGATCAAAAAATTCAAGTAGAGTTAACATAACTAATTAGACGAATTAAGATAAGTAATTATATTTTTGATGCAAATACTTTTTATTATTATAGAAAAGTAAACTGAAAATTTGAATTATATCAGTTTTAAGAGTCAAAAAATTGCAAGAGATGTAGAAAAACGTGTTTCAAAAATAAATTCGAAAAATTTGTTAAGTTCTACAAATTCTTAACATCTGGGGTTTCTACAACATTCCGTCTAAGACAAAAATGGCGTCGAAAATTTGGAAAAAAAATAACAAGTTTAAGTTAACGGTAAATTTTAATGGCAATTTTGGCATTTCAATGTTCGTTTATTCTATTTCGCAATAGAAGAAACTTAGAGGCGATAATTTTTCAAGAGAAAGGGCGAAATAGATAAACATTTTCTTGCCTTAACTTTTTATCTTCAAGACGCACAAATATTGTAAACAAATACCTCAACAAACGGACGAGTGAACATATTTAAATAAATAAGTACAATTATTCCCAATTTTGTTGAAATTGTGCTAAAAATTAAACATCTGTTTTCAATGTTGATTACTACATTGATTTTCTAATGAGATCTAAGAAAATTCATTAAATTTTAATTAGTTACAAAATAAATAACTCAGATTTTTTTCCTTTTTTCTTTCTTCTTATTTTTCATTTAATCATTTTTATTTATTCATGCATTTTTATATTAAGGAATGTATGTAGAATGTAAATAAAAATGAATAATTGTGAATATAAAAGGTAAATATTTTTGGAAATGCTTTTTCGGATCTTCGGAAAATATATACAAATAACGTAAATGTATTCTTAAGGATATTTTTATTCTTTATTTACATTTAAAGTGTATATTTTTATTTAACAAGGATATTACGATATAAGTATATTAATGTTTATAAATATCCTTAATTTTTTTTATCATTTTTTTTTATCTTAATAAATAAATAATTCTATAAACAAAATTATACGATATTATAAAATTGACTTACTGAAGCAATAAAAAAATCTTGATGAATTATACTAACGATACCAAAATTTGTATATTTAAATAATCGATCCATTATCCACATAATATTTGGTAGAACACCCTCTTTAGCATTAAAATTTGCCATTAATAATGGAACATCGGCTGTACTTTGATGATTTGCGATTATAAGAGTTTTTTTTGTTCGACATTCTTCAATATCATCCCCAACTTCTACAACTATAAATTTTATATAAAAAGAAAAAAATTATTTTTAAAAATACTTCTTGCATGAAAAATTAAATTTTTTTTTTTGTTTAATATTGATTTTATTAAAAATTTAAAATCCAATTAAATTATTACTTATTAGTAGGGTCTTTTATGCATAAGTAATAAGATTTAAATTTTTTAAAAAAATCAATTTATACTTAATTATAATATTTAATATTTTACTTACTGTTATAACCAGCTGTATATGACCATAATGATACTACAGCTAATAACCAATGAAATAATAGTCCCTCAATTTTATAATATGCATCTGGATTTAATCGTTTTAATGGTAATAAAAGTCCCATCCAAACAACATATGTTGGTATACAATAAATATTATTTATTATCACAAAACAAAAACGACCTATTGCAGTCGGATATTTTAAAAGTTTTCTGTAAAATAAAAATAATATTTATATTTCAATTAAATAACCAATACTTTAAACTTATTAAGAATAGAAAGTTTTTTTTCTTTCTAAGAATTCTAGAATTTTAGGTAATATTTTTATTTTAAAATTGTAAGTCAAACAATAGTCACAGTAAAAATGTTTTCCTTATAATTTACTTTGCAATTTTATAATGTACGATAGGATAAACGCCTTCTTCCCAAAAAGTGCACCAAAGGATATGGAAAACAAAACTTTTAACATTCTGAAAGGGTTAACATGCATCTCTAAAAGTTTTAAAAGAGATCTCGAATTACGATATTCAAGAAAATTTATAATAAATTCCTTCAAATTTTTAATTTGAGTAAAAAAAATTCATTCACTTAAAATTAAATTATTTTTCATTAATTTACTTTATTGTACGGTAGGTGTCAGTAATAAAATTAATATTTTAAGGCATTAAATCATTTCAGTAAAGTAAAGAAACAATCGTCGGCTTAATTCTAATAGCAAATAACTCATTTTGCTCTACTTTACAGGAGACAAAAAAAACTATTTTGTGACAATAGACAATATTACATAGTGTCTTGTGAATGTTTTTAGTTAATTTAATGTTTAAAAAGAATTTTAATTAGAATATAACCTTTATTTACCTTTCATTGATATATTTACCTAGAACAATGAGTTACAGGAAGTTATGAAAAAAATTATGACAAAAATGAGTTATTTGCTATTAGACGCAATTCAATTACAATTTCATGAGATGGCAAGTAAATAACTATACCAACATAAAAATAATCAAAATCATTAAAGCTACCAAGGGCAATCGAGTTTTTTGTCAATCATAAACCGGTCATTTAACTACTAGAAGTATTAATCACTTTGTTAGTGAGAGAAGAAAATTATCAAAATTTTATGAAAGTATAACGATTATGTGTCATCAAAAGTATCAAGTATTTTAGAAAAATTTTTTTTTTTAAAATTTGATTTAGGCAAATAAGGTAGAAAACTCAAAACCAAATTCTTATATTATACTCGTATACATACATCTATACATCTACTAATACTAAATCTCGGCTACCCAATTTAAAAAAAAAAAGTTTTTGAGCAATATTAAATTTGAGAGAAGGTTATTAAACTTTCATTATCAAAAATATTGACATAATCAAATACCATTTTTGTAAATAATTTATTTTATTTTTTGTTTCCTTTTTTTAGTATTTTACTGATTTTTTATTTTCAAGAAATTGTCAGCTGTGGGTTTACAAATTTTGATTCTGGAAAATTCTCATCTTTTTGGGAATTTCATTAAAGAGATGAAAAAGCTTTAAATTACAAGAATTTTTAGATTTATTTTTTACTTAATGATTTTATTAAAATTGTTTTTTCAGTTTTGAACAGTGTAAAAATGGTAAAATAAAGTTTTAATTGACTTTGTATTGGGCTAAAATAAACTAAAATTAATGCTTATATGAGGTCAAATAAGAATTAATAATTTTTTAAGCAGGGCCCCATTTCAATAATTAAGAAATTTGCAAAGTACATTCTATACCTAGAGTCAAAATTCTAATGAAATGTACTAATAAAAGAAGTTTTTTTGAAAAGTTAAAAAGTAAAAGAAAAATTACAAATGGTTGATGAAATGGGACGCAGGTTTAAATAATATTTTTATTACACGTTTTTTTTTTTGTGTAAAAATTCTTGGAAATGCTAACAAAACTAACTTATTCCCGTGTGTCAAAATGTGTTAAATATAACTACTGTAAACTAAATAAGTAACGTATCTACTATGGTAAAAGAAAGTTGTACATTACGACAAAAAGGAATTTTCCACAAAAATGACGTTTATATATTTGCGGTTTACATCTATTTTATTTTGTAAAACACTTGTAAATATAATTTAATTAATTAATTTATCTATGAAAATTGCAATGTGAGTTCAATGGCAAAATGTAAATTCAAAAATTTCATAAGAATCAATTAAATTTCAGAATTAGAATTTAAAAATTTTAAATTAAAAAAATAAAATATTAATTGAAAATATAATCCGGGAAGAGGCAACCCAGACCTATAAAATTTTAATAAGATATATTTTCTTATTCTTAGCTTTCCAGTTCTATAATACGCAATAACTCCAGTCACAATTTTATTTGACAATATGTTCAATATCAACATATTCTAATATTAGGTCTGTCTGGTATAAAACTTGAAAAAACTACAAAAAGAGAAAAATGTGATATCAACTTGTCGCAAATTCTCATTTCAAAAAAAAAAAAGACAAGAAACGCAAAGTTAATACAACTTTATAAGATAGGTAATAAACGGCATATATCGAAAAAGCTAATTTTTTTTTAATTTGAATTATAGTGAGAAGTCAAAAAAATAACAAACGTCGAACGATGAAAAGCGGTTAAATTCAATTTTATTAATTATTGGGAATGGGGCAATTATTTATTGTGAATCAATTTGTTTATTTTATTTTTAATTAAAAAGTTTTGGAAAACTTTTATTTTCAAAATACCGGACAGACCTTTTATGTTTATTGTGACTTCGAATGTTGCGATGTACATCCATTTGTTAGCATAATAGGAATTTTTTTTTCCGAAAATGTCAAAATTTCACATGTCAGGGATTTTTAGTTTTCATATGAATAAATTTAAAATCAATTAAAACTAGAAACAAGTAAAATCAATTTTTATTTATTCAATTTCAATAACAAGATTCTTCAAAAAAGGTTAACCACAAGTTTTTAGACTCACAAATTTTTCAACCCTCTAGCCATTACTTACAAAATAATTTCATATTTGTATTATACGTAAATTAAGTGATCCTTATTAGTTACCTAATCTCTTTTGTAATTAACGAAACCAAGCAAACTATATAATCCACAGCTAAAACTAAATTTTGTTTCTAACCTTTATTTTTTAATTTATTATGAAAATTAATTTAATCGTTTTGCAATAATTTTTCTATTTTAGTACACATATACACGTGAAATTAATTTTTTAATTCCGGATATTAAAAATTTTTGAGTTTCTCTAAGGACATTATATATTTATGTATATAATTTGTTAAATTATTAAAAATATTATAAACAAGGCAGAAATTTAAAAAAAAATCAATTTAAATAACCTTGATTTTAAATTTATATTAATATTTGACCGATATTATAAAAATTTAATCTAGCTTTAACTTGAAAGTTAAATGAACGATTGACCTTCTTTTTTTATTTATTTCTATGTACTTGTTTATTTTATTCTCATCTCTATGTACATTTAAGATGTCTACGCGTATTTTATAAATAAAATAATTTCCAAAATAAAAATTCTAAAATGATAAGAGGAAGTTCAAATGTTATTTATATTGGTTTTTTGTTTTTGTTTTTATTAAAATGAATTTTTAAGAAAATTAATAAGTAAATATTCTTAATAAATATTGAATTAAAAAGAATTTAATAATAATTCACAGTTATTAAATAGAATAATTAGAATTAATTAGCATAATAACTAATGCTTTTCTATAATTAAATTTTAAGAAATTTAGTTTGTGTTTTAAAATTTTGAATTATATAAGAATGAAACTTCATAAATAATTGGATATTTATATAAAATATTTATAGCTTTGTACACAATTTGAAAAATTTTAGCATTTCATTGCGGATTAGGATTTATTAATATTCGAATGAAAAGAAAATTATGGTGTACAAAACCCTTTTCGGGAACCAAACACAATTTCTGCTTAAGATTCCTTGTTGTACACTCAGGAAGAAACAATATACTTTTTGGGAACAGTATACAATTCCTGCTGAAAATTTCCCGTTTACTCTGAAGAAAATACCTATTTCCTAAATTATTTTTATACAATTTTATTCTTATTTGTTTTTAACTATTTAATTTGTAACCTTGAATTTTTTTTAAAACTGCAAATAAAATTGAAATCTCTTTCAGCTTAAAATTCAAAAATTCTATTGAATCTTATAATACGAGTATTAATGTGATCGTCAATGAAATTGAAAAAAATTTTCGTCATTGTCTGAATAATTTTAAATATTTGTACAAGTGTTTTTTTTAAAAAAGAATCGAATAATGAAAAAAAATTTTTCAAAATCAGTTTACAGCAGCTTGTAATTAATGAATCAAAATATTATTGAAAATTAAATTGAATTTTATCTTTATTTTCAAAAATTCTACAGAAAAAAAATATATGACCGAATCATAAAAAAAATAGGAATTTGTACAAAAAATTTAATATAATGTGGTAAATCTACTGCAAATTAGCTACACGGTATTGAGACCCGAAAATGTCTTAAATATGATTTTCCATGACTTCAGAATGTAGTAAAAAAAGTTTCTCTCTGGATTGGCTATCGCTGGACTTGGATTATAGTTATTCTAGCAATGGAAAATCATATGATCTAAGATTCTAAGCAAACAATTAATCTTAACAGAAAATTACTACAGCTGTGCGTTTTTAAACGGACTATTTTCTAAAATCGCTTTGTTCTGCATTTTGGACCAGTACTACATCGCAATGCTAATTTATATATCAAATTCTTCATAGTAGATTATTCAGCGTTATATTTAAAAATTTTTCAATTTCAAACTTAAGAGCCATGTACTTGATAGCAACCTTGGTACTCCTCTACTCTACATATTAAAAATAAATCAAATTGATTTAAAAGATGCACCAATTTTCACATATTAACGAAATTTCATTTTTTTTTGCAGCCAATGAAAAATATTTCATTCCCATAGTGACAATATAATTTTTAATCATTCAATCGAATATTTATGCATGCATTCTTAAACATTTAAGGTTTTCATGAGCGAAAGAAAAAAATATAAATTTAAATCCTTAGATTATTTAACAAAAAACACAAATATACGTATATATGTATATGTATATATGTATGTGGCTATAAATGAAAATCAATATCGATAATTCAGATTTCTATTATGTGAATGTACTTAAAATATTTAGTTTTTTTTTTCTATTGTAATGATTAAG